ATGTCTGTGAGTTAATAGTATTAGAGGTGATAATTGGGGAAGCTATCTTTGTAATGGGTAAGATAGCTGGGGTCTTTGTTCAGCCCCCTGCGGAGAGTGTCGAATTTTAGCATGAATGCCAGTTCAGAGGATTCCCTTTCAAGTGCAGATTTGAATGTCTTCTGAAGTAGGATGCAGGTGAGTAGGTCATTGAGACAGTGTCCTTTCTGGTTGAAATGTCAAGCAACTGTTTTTTCTTTGTGATCCTGTCTAATGTCTGTTTTGTGGGCATTGATTCTTTGGCGAAGTGTCGGAGACGTTTGTCCAATGTACATAGCAGACGGACACTTTCGGCACATGATAGCATAGATTATATTTCTGGAGGCGCAGGAATATGTATTCTTGATCTTATAACTCACTTGGTTAGGCCCAATAATGGTGTCAGCAGAGTATATACATGATACCAGAAATATAATCTATGCTATCATGTGCTGAAAGTGTCCGTCTGCTATGTACATTGGACAAACGTCTCAGACACTTCGCCAAAGAATCAATGCCCACAAAACAGACATTAGACAGGATCACAAAGAAAAAACAGTTGCTTGTCATTTCAACCAGAAAGGACACTGTCTGAATGACCTGCTAACCTGCATCCTACTTCAGAAGACATTCAAATCTGAACTTGAAAGGGAATCCTCTGAACTGGCATTCATGCTAAAATTCGACACTCTCTGCGGGGGACTTAACAAAGACTCCAGCTATCTTACCCATTACAAAGATAGCTTCCCCAATTATCACCTCTAATACTATTAACTCACAGACATCTATCCTTCCCCACCTCTAATATCATTAACTCACTGGCATTCACCTTCCTTCCCCCCCCCCCCCCCATTCATATGTGTTCATTTTTTAAATTGTATCCTTTGGTATATATGGCTGTGACTATTTTCTTCCACTATTTGATCTGAGGAAGTGGGTCTGGCCCACGAAAGCTCATCATCTAATAAACCATCTTGTTAGTCTTTAAAGTGCTACATAGTCCTGTATTTTGTTTCAGCTACACCAGACTAACACGGCTACATTTCTATCACTATTAAAACATACGTCAATAAACAGTTTCTGCTTTGCTAAATTTGAAAAAATGGTTTCAAGACAAATCTTATAGTTTAAATGCAGAACAGGGTATTTCATTAGGTAGTTTACCTGTGCACTTCAAGGCCAGACACGTTGTGACGACATTTGCACCTAGTTTAAGTTAGCAAATACATAGAGAAGAAGTCACTACCTTTCCACTACCAAAGCAAGCAGCATCTATAAGTTGAACAAGGCTACTACTTAGATAAGTGAAACAGCACCTTGGATACTGGGCTTATGTTTATTTTGTCCTTTCCATGTTTTATTTTGGCATCTTCACTCCTCTCACAGCAGACATAGGGATTTTCTTTTACACACAGCCTGAGTGAAAACTGCATTTAACATGACCCATGTTAATGGACATATACCATACATTGATCTGGTGCCATGCATTTCTTTTTTTATTATTCTCACTTGGCCAAATTCTGTCCTCATGTACACATCAGCAACTCCTGTTGATTCCAATAGGAATCTTGTCCATTGGTAACTTCCTTTATAACAGTTCATGGAGTAGCTCGGGTTAGCCCTGTTCCACTCACCATGCATGTCCATCATCCCTGGAGAAGAGCTGTTTTCTGGAGTGGTCACTTCAGAGTCACATTTTTCATCTTTGCCTTTTTTCTTATTTTTGTTTTTCTGAAAAACAAAAAGTCACCCAACTGTTAGCCAGAAAACCATCATGCATATGTTAGAATAACCCCCTCTCTTTCAGCTCAGTGCATTAGTCCTATAAAGCATATTATGCTTGTAACTTTCATGTGAGAAATTAGGACAACTCAAGAATTAACAAGAACACTAATAAGGCAGTTGTCATAAAAAAATCTCTGAAAAATACTTATACACTTTATTCTTTGTGACCCTGTCATGACCATGAGGGTTAGCAAGCAACCTGGGGACTAAGAGGTTAACTATGTCCCTTACCTAACCAGGTAGCAGACAGCCAATAGAAATGTAGGTAGGAATTTCAAACTGGGACAAAGGACTTTTTGGGTTTTTCCCTCCTTTATCCCAGTTTGAAATTCCTACCTACATTTCTATTGGGTGACTGTTACCTGGTTAGGTAAGGGACATAGTTAACCCCTTAGTCCCCAGGTTGTTGGCTAACCCTCATGGTCATGACATGCCCCCCAAATCGCAGACAGTGCTGGACAGCTTCTTGCCACACTGGCTGTGATTTCTTCCTGGAGGTCTGAGATAAAACATAGTAAATATGAATATGCACACTTGACTAGACTATTGAATACATGAAAATTAAACAAGACCCTTCCACATCTGTGGAGTACCATGACAGATATACTGAGAGTGTCATAAGTAATTGAGTCCGGAAATGCCTCTTTAAGCTATCAAACTCTCAGTCTCAAAATCAAATTTAGAATAGTGTGGGGTCCTGATCTAAAGCTCAATTGACCAGGTTCTGTGCCTCGTACTGAATACACCACTGTCATACACCAGGCCAGGTCTTGGCACTGCTGAGGGCGTCAGCTCAGGGCGAATTGCTTAAAACCAGGGCTACTTACTGCCCTCAACTGGGGTCCTTTCCCAAGGCACCCCACCAGTTACACAGAGCACTTCAGCACCCAACCTGGCCAGCAGGAAGCCTCACCAGCAAAACCCCTTAGACACCCCAGCTTCCCTGTTCCACAATCAGACTTAGGCCTCACACACAGGTGAGAGGTTGTAAAACCCACACTCACCAACTCCAAACAGATCCTCCTGGTCCAAAGGACTCAGCCACAGTTCCAGGCCAATTTTGACTTTAGATCTTACCCACAAGAGCACACTGGGCTAATCCTTTAGAATCTAAACTCTAAAGGTATATTAATAAAAGAAAGAAAAAGTTGAGAGTAAGATAGTTAAAGAGAACACGTTGTACATCAATCACGGAGTGCTTGATGCAGGTAGTGTGGATTCTCTGTATTTCTACTACAAGGAAACAGTGAGGGGGTTTTTTTAGCTGTAACTTTAGTGGCTTTTCTTTGTAATATTTGTTGTGCACATTTGCGTATTTAACGAGCTTTAAAATGAACTATGTAATGCAATTTATACCTTTTATATCAGATGCAGGCCTCAGGTCATTGTTCATGAGTCACCTAGGAAACCAAAAGGAAACCAAATACCCAGAAAGACAAATGTATGTCTACACTACCCTCCTAGTTCGAACTAGGAGGGTAATGTATGCATACCGCACTTGCTAATGAAGCCCGGGATTTGAATTTCCCGGGCTTCATTAGCATAAGCGGGGAGCCGCCATTTTTAAATCCCCGCTGCTTCGAACCCCGTGTAGCGCGGCTACACGGGGCTCGAACTAGGTAGTTCGGACTAGGGTGCCTATTCCGAACTACCGTTACTCCTCGTTTCCCAGAAGGGGGGCTCAGAGCGAGTGACTTGGGCACTGCCGGAGGGCAGTGTGGCAAAGAGACATATGTGACCGGAAGGGGTCCAGAGGGGAAACACCCGTGAACGGAGGCCTGGCCAGATGGAATGGACTGATTCCGGGGACAGATGATGGACCCCTGCTATGGTGGTGAGTGACCCCCTTGTGCCCCCTCACATGCTCCAACACTAATTACAAGTATTAACAGTGAAACATCAGTATCACAAGGCTTTTGAACATAGTGTGTCCTTGGGTACATTTCTTAAAAGTTTCCAGGGTTTGGGCACAAGATCATGCACATTGGACATTGTTACAATTCTTAGTAACAGCAGTACAATGGTTACAAAAGTTGACACCAGCAATGGGATCAAACTCATAGCAAGTGTACCCTGACAATTTTGGGCTTCTAGATTTAAAAAACTGCAGCTTTCCTTGGCAACACAGGTCTTGCCCCTCCCTCATTGCCCTGTGAGTTTAAATCCTGAAGTCTCCATTTTAACAAAGATAAAGGGCTGGCTGGGTGTGTCTCCCTTGCTCACAATGGCCATGGAATTTTCCTTCTCCCCCCCAGCTAATCAGGTAGTAAGCAGTCCAGACACTAATCTGGCACCCTGCTGCTTTCAGTCTAGTTTTCCATCTAGTTTTCCAGGTGGGCCACTGACTCTCAGAGACAGGGCCTGGGTGTACGGGTTTAATAGACTTAGGGATCTTTGGTCCCTTCACAGAATCAGACTGGAAACATCCCTGTTTCAGTAACCCACACTTCCCAGCAAGCTGGTCAAACACAGTCACTTGGTCACCAGGGGGCTGTTTCATCCCCCTGGCTGTCTCCACTCCATCTGAAACAACCTCCAATCCCTCTGCAACATCACCATAAGGATCCTCTTCCTTATGACCTGTAAGCAAAAACTCACCTTTCCCTGGCCCTACAGCAGCATCGCCCTGCTGAGTCACCACCAACTCCTCCTGAGTTTTCCCTACTCCCTGAACAGGCAGGTCTCCACATAACCCCCTTTCAGGAAAACAAACAGATTTCCCTGGTAAGAGGTCAGAGACCTGAAGCTTTCTAGACTGCTACACACTTCCATACTGTCTGTAGGTGCCACCCTTACTACACCCTGCTGCTCCCAGGGTGTCCTGGCTAGGGTAGTACCCTGATCACACAGTCACTCTCCTCCCTCCAAGCAACACACCAGCAACAGGTAACACACAAGCACCAGACTTGTCTGATCGGGTACGTCTAGACTACAGGGTTTTGTTGACAGAAGTTTTGTCGACAGATTCTGTCGACAAAAAGCGTCTAGCTAGACTGCATCAAGCAGATAGACAAAGCCATTTGCTTTGTTGACAAAGAGCGTCCAGACTGCCAGACGCTCTGTCGACAGAAGAAGGCATCCAGAACTGCTTCTTCCAGGTCACAGGGGCAGCATGTACTTCCTGGTTCTGCTGCCTGCCCTTTGCAGAGACGTGCTAAAAGGGACCCCCCGACCAGCTGTTGCTCTGCTGCTGCAGCTGCCTTGCTTACCTCCTAGAGGGACAGAAAAGGTTTTTCCAGTGCTTGCTGTGAGTATCCTGCTTCTCTGGTGTTTTTTTTTTTTTTTTTTTTGAAGGTTTTTCTGATCCCTTTGTTTGCCATGGAGCCAGAGCTGCCCCTGGGCGGGTGCTGGCCTCACTCCACGGTGCTTCAAATGCTGCTGCAACTGCATGAGACTATCATGCTGTTAATGCCCAGTCCGGATCCTGCACCCAGGCTGGAGCCCCTACTTCAGGA